TGGTTAACCGAACCGGTCGGTTCGGTTTCGGTTTAGTTTTATAAAAAAACCAAAGGATCGGTTCAGTTTTCGGTTAACCTATCAAAAAACCGTCGGTTAACCAAACCGACCGATTTTTATATATTATAATATTTTTATTTTATTTTAATATGTTTCCTTGCCCCAGCAGCCCAGCCCCCAGCACCCCTCTGACCCTCTCTTGGCCCAAGCCCAAAAAGAATGAATTTTTTCATTCATTCGAACCCCAAAACAAAACCCCTCTTAATCCTTTCTTCTTGTTTGAACCAAGGTTCAAAGTATCAACACGTATCAGCTCGTATCGGCCGATATGTCGTTCTGGGGCCTCTCCGATACGCCCCTACAGTGGGTGTATCGGGGGTCTAACCGGTTCAGGGGGTGGAGGAGCTCTAAACCGGCCCCCTGAACCGGTTTTGAAAAAAAATAAAGAAAAAAGTAAAAAAAAAAAGGTATCAATTTGCCCAATACACTCCTACCAGCAGCCTATTGGGCGTATCGATATTTTGAACCTTGGTTTGAACAGCAAAAGGCCAAAAGCCACTCGCTAGAAACCCTAGCAAGTAAGCTCTCCTTTCATGTCATTGTTGTCGATGCCTCTTCTTTCTTCTCCTTCGTCACCGTCATCTAGTCCACCAGTTTTCTATTTCTCCCCCATCGTTGTCACCTCTGGCCTCTTCTAGTCTTCTTTCTTCTCAGACTGAACCACAGAACCGAACCATTTCTCCTCTCTAGTCGCCGATTTTATTTCTCCCGTCGCCATCACCGTCATCGGTTCTACTTCAACAGTGATGACTTACAGGTAAATGATTTTTTTGGATATCATGTTGTGTAGGTTGTTAGACAAACTTGGCTTGAATCAGGTTTTTCCTTTGTTGAAACATTTTTTTTAATAAACATGGAAAAATAAATAAAAAATAAAAAAACCGAAGACCGGTTGTTTTGGTTCGATTTTGGTTTGGACTGATGCAAAAACTGGTGGTATCGGTTCGGTTTGCAAAATATACCCACAGTTCGGTTCCAGACAAGGTGAGAACCCCTTACAAGACGTCTAACATTCTCTAGTGTCTTTTCATGATCCCACCATCTCTGCAGTAGCGGACTTCAGGGAGATGCACGGCATTGTTTTCTAGCACCAATATATGGATAAATTGATTATTCTGTGTAAATTACGAACAATTTTCCGACCGGTTGGAAGAATGGGTGCCAATCTTTGCCATCATCTAAAATGGCTTCAATTCGGTGAAAGAATATTTGTTGTATGAGTTGATTTTCCGATATACCAAAATGAATAGGCTCCAATATTTAGGCTAATTTAAAAACACAATTTTCAAACCACCACCGAGCCAAAATGACAACAGATGTTCCTTTATCTATAATAAAAAAGAGGGAGAGTAATGATTTGGGTTCAACGATCTATAGCGTTGGAAGTTCATTTGACCGTATTTAGTGTTGCGTGATAACCAACTGTTACGGACTTGGTCGTTCCAGCTTTTTTCAGTCAAGTGATTTTTGTTCGTTCACCAAACCATGGATCATGGATGTTTTGAATTCATCCTCAAGAGGATGCATATGTGAAATCAAGATAGCATTATCAATAAGCTTACCAACAATTTGAAACAAGGGCTGAAAGAGCATGGAATTAATGTAAACGTTATTGACTCAACATAGTTTGGCATTAAAACCTTGTCAAGTAAGACATGATTAGTTAAGAACTAAAGATGCATGGAGACCTCTTGCATATCAGGCCTTACGAGTCGATAAAATCATGACCTAACAGCAAAGAAATAAAATTTAGGCATTCAGCGTAATCATTACTGGCATTCCCTATCTCCATAAAGAAGCAAATAAAAGGGCAAACTAATTTAGGTCATCAAATAAAGGGTATAACCAAGGTTGTTTTCTATTATTACATAATGGCCTGCAAAACCCCTTATCAGGTTGTACATCAGAAACTGATTGGCCCTCTGTACATATCCCTTTTCGTAGGAAAATATACAGAAAAGAAAAATTCCCAGAAAAATAAAATCTTTCTAGAAAATATTTTCTGGCTGAAACTTTTAACTTCCAACCAAACCAAACAGGTGATTATACAACTTAATTATTTTCCGTTTAATTACAAAAAAGAAATCTGGAAAGAAATAACAAGGAAAAGGGATCATCTAAAATTCTAAACAAGAATGATTATCATCTTAATCCTACATATCCATTGGTTTCACCTGAAGGCCAGCTCATGGATAATCTCCACCAAAATCACCTGCAGATAAGGCACAAGCAAAAATAGGTGAAGTTATTGGAGAGTAAGTATTATAATTAAATTTTAGGAGGATGCAGTAAGAGGCAATGATCATCATATGGCATTGATACTCCCATATGCTGAAGTGAAGCAGTTCCTGATGGGCCCATAGTTTTAGTAAACCAGATGAACCACAGAATTATAAAAGCCTTCCTATTACAGTAATACCTATTGAGACAATCAAATTGTCAACTCCACTTTTACCTTTTCTGCCTTCGACTAACAGTAATGCTCATGCAGTCTATGAAGCATGGGGCATGGCCAGAAAAAAAACATGCTTCCATAACTGTATGACCATGATTTGTTTCTAAAAATACAAGACTGACGAAGCAATCTTTTCATACTTCCTCAAACTGCCAGTTGATCTTCTAATATCTTTCTTTCCACGTCTCTACAACCAATTTTCTGACCTTAAACTCCGCAGTCCGTGTTTCCTCCCCAAATAATTCCCCCAGAAAGACCATTTAAACCTGAGACTCAAAAAACAACCTCAAGAAATGCCAAGATAGTCAAATCTAACCATAAGCTTAATATGAGAGATCTGGCTCCATAAACAATTTAATCCTTGACCGCCACAACTCCCCTAATTGCACAATTACCAAATCAACATTTTCTTCCCGGGTTGACAGAGAAGGTTAGAAGCAACCAGCCCAACTTGGATACAAATTGACAAAATATCATAATCGACTACCAACCTTTTGGTGGCTCCTTACATATCTTGAAAATTTGACTTAACAATACAGGATCTACTGTCAAGAATCCCCTTATTTGTCCATGCCATTACTATGTTCATCTTAAGCTGGGAAATTTGCAGTATGAAACCATGAATACAGCAACAGTTAAAGCAGCTTTAGGGCACTGATCAGGTTCAAGGAAAATAAACTAGGACCCCATTCACTCGCTGTCATCATTGAAGTGATTCTAGCTACGAGCTTTACCTGCACCTAGCATCTCAACATTACCTCTCACCTCCCAAAGACCTCCATCTTGGTTCTACCATCCAATTATCCACCATCAACTGTTCCTATACAGTTGAGACAATTCAGAAGATCTCCTTGATTAATAGTGGATCCCGAGGCAATTACTTATCCATTCTTCATTCATCCCCCCTGCCAATGATAGCTTTACTTGAAAGTCATGACATGGATGGATGTGATAATTTATCTTCAATGTGTGTGAAGACCTACAGAAAAAAAAAATGACCAAATAGATGTATATATCCTCATGTCTGTCTTCTTTGTAAAGCAAGCAGGGAAAGCTCTTTCCATCCGTTTATATCTTGTTCTTTTGTGACTGATATTAGGGAGATCTTTGCTCTCTTTGGGTGCAGGTGGACGCCCCCTCTGGACTTGAGCTCCTTATTCAGCAATTCCTTTTTCAGACCTCCCACAAGAAGAGGCAAGAAAATGTGGAGATGTACCAAAGCTGCAACCCTTTGGGCATTTAGGAGGAAAGAAATGGAAGGTAATGCAAGAATAAGAATCAGAATAGAAGAGACATCACAGATCTTAACATTGAAAGAGCTGTAAATTGGGTGAAGACTTCAAACTTATTCAAAGTGTTTGTGGAGTGGGTGCATAATGAAGGAAAGTGTCCTTCACAGTATAGACATCTTATGAGGGAGATAATCAAGCTAAAGATAGACACAGTTGTTGTTCAGTGGACTTACAGAGCTGCCAATGGAAGATGGGTTAGCAAGACAAGGATTGAATGAGAGAATTTGTTCTGGGAGAATGGATTACTTCTTGATATCCAACCCATTGAAGTATAAAACTATAAATATGCATTGCTTCACTGAAAGTGGGACAGGAAACCAATTCCACAGCAAGCAGAGAATGGTTCTTCTGTTATGTGGTGGAGGTTTCAAAAATCTTTTCTTCCTTTTTATTTTCTTTTGCAAGAGAGGGGGGGCCAGGGGGGAGGATGGTTGTCAGCCACTGAGCATTTCTAGCTTTCGATACTTGCTAATTTGGCAAAAACTAAATGCTATTTATTAATTATTTAAACAAGTAAAACACAGTTTTTGACTTATTGATTATTCATCCATTATCCATTCTTCATTATTATTGACACTGTTGTTGTGACAACCACATCAAGGATTCCAGTATTCCACCAGGCAAGACAAAAAAAACTCCCATTTTCATCCAATAAAAGCACATCAATATTTATAAGATAAAATCATAACACTAATGCGAATACAAGATATTTTTGCCCAAGAAAAATGGGAGAACATGATATCCATAAGATGACAAATAAGAGTGTCAGTAGCCAAAAAAAGATCCAATAACAGTGTCAACATAGAAGCTATCAACACTATAATGGCCACTGTTCTAACAATACTTGTCAACATTTAGAGGTATTATCCATTTTGTCTTCTGCACTTAAAAGTGAAAGACCTATGGGAGATGTCAACTATGTAAAAAGAGGAAGTGAAACACCAATTATATGCCAAGAGGCCGGGATAAAATCAGGTTATAACTCGTAGTTTTTTTTATCAATAGGTTATAACTCGTAGTTGAGAATATATTGTGTCAAGTCAATATTCACAGCTTATTAAAATATTAGAAACAGGTTTTATTTTTCACTTCATAACAGGTGAAATAAAAATATATATCATGTGAGAGAAAGTAGCAAGAAATCTGTAACTGCAAACTGAAACTGTCATTTAATGAAAATTCCACAACAAGCAAAACAAACAGAATCTGCAACCAAATTTTATTCCACTCTAAATTCATTCATATACACACCTGTATGGAAAAACCTTCATCTTTATCTGCACAATGAAAAATAAATAGAAATATTCTTGGCCACTACCTCTAACACAAGTAGATACAAATCTTCACAGAGGCTTTCTGCGAAGAGGATAAAGTAAGATTGGGAAAATACCAACAGCTGACTCACCAACAGAACTAATTTATTTATATTAAATGACCTCAACCCAGAGAAGGGTAGGAGTGGAGCATACTGAAAGATCTCACTATGGCTTGAGAAGAGAGGAGAGACAAAGGGTGGTTAAATTGATACTATCAAAAGAAGATGGGGAGCTGCTACTCATTATTGAATCTCTTTGCAATGATAGGACGGACATCATCAGCATCAACCAGGGTCTCAAGGAAGGGAAGCAATGAAATTAATGCAGAGTCTGACGGATCATCAAACCAACTCTTAATTGGGATCCCATTATTCACTTGCAACCTGAAAACCTGAAACCATAAAAGGAGAGAACGAATTATTCAAAACAGGAGCTAATCATATAATAGACAAGATTCATTAAGCACTTAAACTACTAAAAACCTGAAATCCCTAAATTCCACAGTTCATTTCTTGTACTATGGATACACAGGAAAACAGAATGCTCAAACTCTAAATACAACGGTTGAAAAGTACCTCTCTAGAACCACTATACTAAAAGATCAGAGACACCAAATTGATTCTTAAATGGACGAGACAAAAGGACTGATTACTCTTTTCATACTAGCAAATAGCTGGGAAAGGATCCAATAGTGATTATGAAAAATGATTTTTCCGGTCAATGGAGTGCCTCCCAGCCATTTCAAAAGCTCTAGGGATCTAAGGGAGACACCCTCTCTCCCCTCTTGTATTTATATGTGCAACAGAAGCCTTAGCTTCTCTCATGAAGAGAACTTCAGAGGGAGGGTCTATTTCAGGTTTAGAAATGTGCAGGAATGGTCCAAAAACTACCTTCCTCCAGTTTGTTGATGATACTTTATTTTTCTGGACACTTCCACTTCACATCTTCAGCACTTATTGGAAATTCTGACTTGGTTCCAAATCGTTTCTGGCCTCAGAATCAACTGGGAAAGAGCTCTCTAATCCCAGCTGGACAGGCCCCAGATATTAAAAATTTGGCTAATGTTTTGGGTTGCAAGGTGGCTCAACTTCCATCATCATACCAACAGCCCCCATTAGGTGCCAAATCCTCAAGCTCCATATGTGATCCAATTATTGAGATATGTCAAAAGAACTGTACTCATGGAAAGCCAGATATCTCTCTCAGGGAAGGAAGTTAACCTTAATCAAAAGCACTCTTTCTAGCCTCTCAAGCCATTTCCATTAAATGATCCAAAGCCCCTTTAAAGGTTGCAGAGAATCTGGAAAAGATTAAAAGAGATTTCTTATGGAAGATGTGGATTGGGCTAGTATTTGTACTCCAAAGAAGTCAGGTGACCTGGGAATTTATTGCATCAGGAACCTAAACATTTTCTTTTATCAGCAGCAGAAATAAATCTTTTATTAAATCAGGAACAAAATTTACAATAATATGAGTAGCCTCGGCTACCCCATGATCTTTAAGACAATAGCAAAAACCTTTTCTTACAGTTAAAAATGAGCCCAAAATCAGTTCCCTCTATTGACCCCTTGCTTAGCAAAATGATCAGCTAAGCGGTTTGCTGATCTAGGGACCCACTGCAAAATCACCTGTATATCTTCTGAAAATCTTTTAAGTTTCTTAACCTCATTCCTGAAATACCACGGAACTTTCTCATTATCTTTTAGCCAGCTTATGATCACCTTTGAATCTCCTTCAACCAACAACTTCCTGATCCCTAAACATTGCTCTTCTAAGAAAATGGCACTGGAGATTCAATGCTGAAAGAAATAATTGATGGTGTCATCTGATTGCAAGCAAACATGGGCTATCCAATGGAGGCTGGGATGCTAATCCTGCTACCCATACCACCAACACTGCAGTTTGGAAGGGCATTCAGAAGATTCATGCTCACTTAGAAGGAGTTGCTAATAATCTGGACAATGGCTCTCAGTTGAGATTTTGGTTGGATTCCTGGCATTGTTAAAGGACCTTGGCCAAATCATACCCAAGTCTCTTCAATGTTGCCATCAACAAAGAGGCAACTGTGGCTGAATTATTCTCCATTGAGTGAAAATCTGGTACCTGGACTCCCATTTTTGGAAGGAACCTCTTTGATTGGGAAATTGAGAGTCTTGAGGGCATGATTCCCCAAGTCCAACAATATCAGCCAATTGAGTCTTGAGGAGGATAGCAGAAGTTAGAAGTGGGACAAGAAAAGGATTTTCTTAGTCAACTAATGATGCAGCACCTAAGCTCGGGTAACCCCTATTTCCCCTCCAGAGTTGTATGAACACAGAAAGCGCCATCAAAGGTTGCCTTTCTTGTGTGATCAGAAGTCCTTGGAAATTGTGTCACCAAAGACAAGATAAGCAGGAGAGGCATCCCTCTTACCTCCCCTAGCTGCCCTCTGTGTAATGCTCTTAAGGAGACTGCAGACCATCTCTTTTAAATTGCCCAGTGAGCAGACAGACTTACTTGAGTAATTTGGTGGTCAACCTATATCTGAACTCAGTTTTTCCTAGCACTGCTGCTGGATTCCTAAACAGCTGGTTCATTGAAGACCAATCAAACAATGGAAAAATTATTTGGGATATGCTACGGATGGAGAGGAATAGCAGAATTTTGAAGGAAAATCCTCGCAAATAGATGAAGTTACTTTTGGACTATTTGGAAGGAGAGGAATAGCAGAATTTTGAAGGCAAATCCTCGCAAATAGATGAAGCTATACATACCATGACAGCAAAGGTTCTCTCTTGGGAAAAAGCATCTAAGCTTCCAATTAATATAATATAGTTCTTACTGCAGGATTCTCCCCCATATACAGCCTAATTGTAATGGGTTCTCCCATTTCATACAAGTAATACAATATACTTTACCTTTTCTCAAAAAAATGATAATGATTTTTCTCCTTCGGAGTCACGATGACCAAAAGAAATTCTGATAGAAAATTATTTTCTGATCCCATATAACATTTTCTCTCAGTAAAAGCATTACAAGGTTGTTACAACTATGAAAATAGAGCATATAAATACTCACTTGATAAATAGAAGTCCATTGCATAGCAATCAAACAGGAGATGAAGATTTGTGAGGAGGGGAAAGGATGGGAAGGAAAATAATACCTGTGGAGAATTATCAATAATAGCAACTTTTGCTAGGTCAACTCCTAAAACCGTCAAGTCTTTAGTGTAGCTACCATCTGAAAAGATACATGACTCACGATAAGCACGTCGAGAAATAAGCTTCCTGTCTGGATCCAGTATATTCAAGAGTTGCTCGGCATATGTGCTTTGACTGGCAGTAAACACAATGACCTCAAACATCTCCGCAACTCTTTCCAAGAATGTCCGAAGGTGAGGCCTCTGCCGTACATAGACAGTATGCTCCTTCATGTTGAAATGAACTTGAAAGGTGAAGTCTGCATCATCACAGGGCTCCAGAGTAGAATGAACAAGTGTTTCTATACAGATGGAAAACAACAATAACTTTAGAAAAATTGGCATGCATCAAATATTCGCAAAACAATAAAAATAACAGATGCATTCAACCAATATGAAGCTCAGCTTGGGGATTATAAACTACCACAAAAAACAATGTCATAGGTTACAACACCCAGGATCCAGCAAGTGGTGGTGTTTGAATTGTGACATGTATTTTTGGTTCTTAATGCAAAATAAAGCACATTGCAGGATCCAGAGAATTGAAACCTATGAAAACACATAATATAGAAATCGCAAAGTTTAGGATACTCCCACTGATGCGTAGACGCTCTTAAATGGAAGATGTGTCTAAATTGAACACACGTTGAAGTCCAACACTAAAAAGATTCTTGAGGACACTTTCTATGTTGCATTTTCTTTTAATATCCTAGCTTATTTGACATAAGTGAACAGCCAATGTACAGGCTAAGAAAATTTTCAAATCAAACATTATCAAGTAACAAAGGCAACTTTCATAGATTAGTTAATAAAAAATGTGAACTATTTTAATAGTATATGCTTTTCCATAGATGTATCCGTGAGTCCATGTTTTCTCATCTTGCTTAGTTGGACTCTAGTCTTGAGCACACATCAGATTTCAACCCGTGTCTGTGTCCATGCTACATTGGATGCTCTAATATATGACTGAAATCCATGAAAGTGGTTCCAGAGCTTGTTCAATTTGTTTGCACACATCCAAGAGGAATGAATTTATAGATATATCATAGTTATAAGTGGAATTAATTAAATTATTTCAAAATAAAGTTAAGTTATTATAAGATAATAAGCAAACAAATAAACAAACCATTAACTATACACCAAACAAAAAATATCAAAAACTTCCTTACCATCCAAATCAAGTACTAAAGTGATAGGCTTCTTTATCCGGGATTCCTTGGGTAACAACATAGGCCACAGAGTTGGAACAACTTCTGGTAGATCAGGTAAATTTTTTATAAACAACTGTGGATCAAAGTATTCAACTTCGTCAGTGTCAACAGAGTGTGAACTAACATCAGGTTCCTGGGTAAGGGACTGTGTTTGATGGATCGCTAGATATAGACATCCATCATCTGAGCTCATCATGGCTTCTTCACATGGTTCACCATCAAGGTTATTGCTCATTTCCACAGTTTCCTCAAGGAAAGGCAATATCATGCATCCCTCAGCCATATCGAACATCAAACTTGAATCAGTATATCCATGGTTGAGGAATGGATTGGCTTCCATAATATCATCAAATTCTGCATTCCCATCATAGGTTAAACCAGTAAGACACCTATCAGAAATATAAAAACTTGATATGTTGCATGTTTGATAATCATCGCATGAGCCACTGCTTCCATCATCAGAGGCATCAGCTTTCAAATGTGCCATATCAGAACAATTGTCACTCCCTACTGTAAAATTAGGAAAGGGTAAGAAATACTGGATTCACTTTTTTTGCAGAATAATTGGTTATCATGAAACTTCATGCAACTATTTTTTATGTGATCACTTCATGCTTGATAAGAGATTTTAATATATGCAAAAATACCATGGAGAAGAATGGAAGACCATGAGAAAATCATCACAGGAGAGACAAAGCATATGGTTGAAAGCTCAGAGTTATGTTATATGTGAAGAGAACAAAAAAATCAAAAAAAAAAAAAAGCCAAGTAATTATTGATGCTAGAAGCAAAACAAAGAGCTCAACATGTGACAAAGGTTGTCTAAAACGAGAGCTAACTAGCAACAATCATAAGAAAATCAATGGAAGCAAGTTTTCTACCTAAAACGAAGCATCTGCAAATGATGAAATGGAATGAATGCCAAACAGAATCTACATGAAACAACTAAATGGTCTTCACAATTTACTAGCATTTGGCAATAAATGATTCATTTCAATCTTTTTATGGTAAATAAAAAAGAAAATTTCAATCATCATCACCCACGAAACCATAGAGATTCAAATCAGACATTCAGACTACAGAAATTTGGGTAGATTTATGGAGAAACTGCATTAGTTCTCCCTCTTTTTTTCATACCTCATAATTAAAATACAGTTAGATTTTCATTCAAAATAATTCCTCTTTTGGTTATTCTTGGACACATAAAGGGAGAAACTGTGTAGAATTTGCACTAGAACTGTTATAGTATGGATAATTTGGTTTCCAATCAATGGTCAATGGAAGAATCTCTAATAACAAGGAGCAAGAAGAAAAACCTATGGAATTCATCATGATGAAGGTTGCTTTCTGGATGATTACAAAAATGAGTTCAAAGGTGTTTCTTTGGATTCAATATTGAGAATCTGAGATATAGTCCTTCAGTGGATTTTTTACCCTTAGAAAACTACAGGTTATAGCTACATAGATGGCACCAGAGATGGGAATAATTAAACTTAACTTTGAAGAGTGCTGTCTCAGCAATACAGACCTACCATGTAGAAGTCCTTAGAGACCATTTAGCAACATCTCCATAAGATTTTCAGGGCTAGCACAGGAAGGAAGGTCCTTGAGGAGAGAGGTCCTTGCCTAGATTTAAAATTAAGTCATTTCCTTGAGGTGAAATGGACCAACTGTAGAAGAGAATTGCCAGGTGGTGAACTGGTTGTCTACAAGTCTGTAAGCCCTTGGCTCTAAGATTCTTGCTTAGAGAAAGAAAGGCATTTTTTCCCTAACCTTAACTGCCTGTTCAAAAGGACAGTGGACACCAAGATCAGAAAACAGTCTCGCTGCTGCACTAACAGGAGAAGGGATAACAAAGTAACAGGGTAATCCTGTCCTACCTTCCGATAAGCAGTCAGCCCTAAGCTGTTGTATGTCTTCTCACTTCAACTTTGTGAGATGTAGGGTTTTATAATAGGTGAAAACACCTCCCACCTGCTAATCTGCAACTTTTTTTGATCAATAGTCTCCTGCAACTTTGCGGCTGTTATTTGGGAATACTTTTTTTCAGATTTCAGTTGCAGGTGGCTGCCTCCAGCGATATTGAAGATATTATTTGATACAGCCTTCTTCTCACCAAATTAGTAAGAGGGGGGGAAATCCTTTGGAGATGTACAAGGGCAGCAGTTCTGTGGTGTATTTGGGAGGAAAGGAACCCAACACTTTTCAAGGACAAGGAAAGAAGAGTTAAATGCGAGATCATTGATGACATCAGCAGAAATTTGAAAAAAAGTGGCTGATTCTGCTAGTGGGAAGGAAAAAAATAGCTGTTTCATTGCAACCTCCAGCTATGTCCTTTGTCAAGTTGAACTTTGATAGTTGCAGCCTAGGCAACCCAGGCTTGTCAGGTGTTGGAAGAGTGAATGAAACGTAATTGCAATGTTTTCAGGTCCAATTGTGGGAGGAGATTCTACAAGAGTAGAACTACTAGTGGCGTTAACAAGGCTTAAGAAGATAAAACTAAACAATACTAAAGTAGACTCCAAAGGTTGTCACAAGGTGGTTGGAGACTAATCAGGAATGTTCATGGACTTATAGGCATATGGTCAAAAAATTAGGAGTCTAATCGGGCAGTTGGGAACAAATTGATAAAGAGCCAACCTGATCATTTGCATTGACCACTACAAAACCCAGGATGCCCCCAAAGATGCAAAATAAAGAGAAGAATGCTTCCTCTATTATCCTTTTTGTGGGTCATAATCCATGCAGTCAAACAAATAGTTCCAACCATAACATCTGCTTCAACTTCAGGACTCTCTAAGCATATGATTCCAAGTCAAATGTCTCAAGAAGGGAAATGGAAATGAATGAAGATTAAAGCTTAAACCAATGCTCACCAAGGCATACTGCCATTAAAACAAAATAGGCATCAATCTCACATGTTTTACAGTGTCACCACTCTCATGTTGATTCCACCCTTCCAACAGCACCTACCTCACCAATGATGCCTCCATTTAATGTTTGGATTCAGGATTTATGGTTTGCATCTAACATTACTTTAAAAGCATGAGTTCAGATTCAGATAGGAGGGATAGTAAAAGAAGTGAATATCAAAATAAACTTTTGCAATTGTGATCAGGACATGGAACCTTTTTATCTTAATGAACAATTTGAATTTGCTCAACAATGACAAAATCCAGTAAATGTCTAAAATTCTCTTTTGCTCACTCTGTAACACCTCAGAATCTTTCTTTTCTATATCAATTCTTTTGAAGATTCAAACACATGCTCTAACTTTATTCATCATTCAAAAACACGATTTGACATTTATTTTGCAAAAAAAATCCCCACAATTAGTTCTGAACCAATATAGGGTCAGGCAGGCTGTAAGCCAAGTTGTGGATCATTCAGCTGAGTTTTGGTTGGAACCAACATTGTCTGAGTTGTAAAATACTTATGTGAATATCCTCTTGTCCTTTAAGTGGAGAATACTTGACTTTTTTTTTATTTTGAGAAAGGTTAACTGAGTTTTATTAAAAGTTAACTGAGAAAAGTTAACAGTGTACAAGAGCCAATAGAAGGCAGGAACATAACTAAAGAGGCAAATAACTATCAGAAAACAAAGATACTCTATGGGCTCCTGATTTGGCTAAGCTTTCAGCTACAGTGTTAAGTTCCCTGTGAATCCAGACTAGCTTCACATTCATAGAAGCCAAAATATCTCTAGCTTCAGCCAGCAGGTGGGCAAGCCTCCAAGGATGATGCCATAATTATAAAGTTCAAGCTACTCCACAGTATGCACCAAACAATTCTATAGGTGAGGGAACATGCTAATTAAATAGCTATTGACTAACAGGAACATTGAGTACGTATAGGTTTTTTTTCTTTGGAGGAAAAGAAAAGGCTTTACCTGTATAGCTTTGAAAATTTGGTTTATAGTTAACTTCATCAGACTGCAAAATAGGTGAGAAGATTGTTTCCAAGTTTGATGGGCATGTGGCTGGTAGAATCTCCTGCAATTCAAGTAACAAAATTGTCACTGCATTAATTAATATAAAAGCCTGAATGACCAATCTCAATGAAACAACGGCTTAAACAAGGAAACCAGATCTAATTACTGGAAAACAAGTAAGCTAAAGCAAAACCAAGATGTAGAAATCAGTAGATGTTAGCAAAAACAACAGATAACTAACCTACACATAACAGTACCAATATAACATTTTGACAGATCACACACTTTTTTTTTTCATTCTTTGCTTTACATGTTATCAGGAAGGTTGGTCTAGGCTGAAATAAATCTTCAATTAATTATATCCTTCAAGGTAATTTTCAAAACTCCCTATAAAATAGATATATAATGCCTCAGTTAAGCAGGTATAAACAGGATTTGATGTCTTCAATACCATGAATCAGATGGCCTAGAAATATAACTGTAGGATGATATTAATATCCTGGATCAGTTTCCTGAGTCAAAAAAAAAAAAGAAAAAAATAGAAAGATAATTGGGAAGTGAAAAAGTCAGCAAAACTAATGCAGTGAAAAATAGAATCAATCATGTGTATTGAAAGTAAATGTACAACCAAAAAGTGTCATTATTTGATCCATTGTTCAAATTTTTTCCTTATCAATAGTGTGAAATGTGTTCATTTCAAAGTAGAACCATACAACCCAGGAAACTTGTAGGGCAAGTTGATACATGCAGCTCAAGGATGACTTATTGAAAAAAATTGCAATGAATTCAAATTTGGAAGCCCTTCTCCTGGACCACGTAGTCCCCATTCAAAAACATTTTTGTTCACACCTTCCCTTGCCAGCATGTCTGCTAGGTTGTTCACATCCCAAGTTATCCATTTGAACAAGTGGTTCATGTTGATTATGGGCAATTTGGTTTATCTTAAACGATGTATGGGATTCCAAGGGCCTTCTGATGTGAGCAGAAATATTGAAGAACCAAACTAATCATTCACTTGACCCACAATGTACCATATGAGCACAAATTAGGAAAAAGACATGTAACCCTGCAGTATCGATGCAGCACACCAACTCAAGCTCAAAGAAAAGCTTGACCACCAAACCCTTCCACTGTGTGGTTATTACACAATAAGAAGTCCATTTACCATTCCTTTTGTTTATTTAACAAAAATAATGTAGGCATATCATTTGTGACTTGCGAACAGAGTATTCATAACTTCATGACAGTGAAATAAGCAATCACTTTCCAACAAAACAATTGTCATATAAATAACATATGATTGAACGGGGAAATGTGTAATCTCAAGATGTTAAAAACAAACTAAACAACTTTCATACAACAATATTCAGACATGTTCAAAAAACAATACATAATTAATTCCATACCTCTCTTTCAATAGATGCAGAATCAGTTAATGATGATGATGACCTTTGTGACCTAATGGCTTCCTCATCCACTAATTGTTGATGCTCAACAGCTTCATCACTTCTAATTTTATATGAAGGTACTTCAATGCTGGGAAAAACTGCAACAAGAAGTAAACATTAAAAAAGAGTACAAAATTTCGTGGGATGCAACATTCCCTTCATAATTAGGAATTAAGTTCATACTGCACATAGAAATTAATAAATGAAAACAATATGATGAACAGAGTTAAATGTTATGGAAAACAAACTTTTGAAGAGAAGAATATGGTGATTGAACAGGATAGAAATTTTGAAGCAAGTATGAACTAAAAAACACGATACACTACAGAGTACTCTTTTAAAAACTATGGAAGCTCTGTGATCTATTTTCATGATGCCCACTGAAAGATATCTTGCAAGAAAGACAAAACATGTAATTTCTTACCATCTTGGCAATCTTCAATAGAACTGCCCAACTCAGCTTCTTGTTGAGACATTCTGACCTGAAAACATGAATCCTTGGATATTTTACTTGACCGTTGACAGACCCGAAGCCCATTTCCATCTTTTATACAGCCTGTTCTTGACTTGGCCTTCATTTTTAGTGCCGGCATTTGATCTATGCTTGTGGATATACCAAACAATTAATTCAAAAATGTCAAATCAAAAATACGACCTCTATACACGTTTGCATCCAATCTGCAATACAAAGTGTTTTACCTTAGTAATCAAATAGATACCAGAATACAGGAACACCCAAAGGAGCAATGGTATCACTAGAAAAGGAAAAAAAAGAGGGAGAACTACAAGTGGGTCAATAAGATACAGTAGCATGGAACCTTTATCATGTAAAGATAGATATGTCATTTGAAAAGATACAAAGTCAAAAATATCCAAACAAGTGAATATGTTGGTCAAAGATATGAAGCCTACATGACACATATGGTACCATTCTAATTGTAGCCAGGAGAGAAGAAAGACAATAGCTGATGGCCAAAATATCCTAGCATCTGAATAAATTGGCACATAATATGAACTTGATTTTTTTATTAATAACAGAAACAGAATTCATTAATTATCAAAGAAAAAGAAACAAATAAGAGAACCAACAGGAAACAATGTTACAACCAAGAAAAATTCATTAATTAGCTCTCCCTAAAGAGGAAACAATGTTACAACCAAGCCCGATATAGTTGGTTCCTACCCACCCCATGTTTAGTCAAAGAACCAACAAAAGAATTAGCATCTCTTTTAACCCATTTTAGAGTAACATCCATCCCTTGCAGCAACCACTTGATTCTTCTCCTCATAGATGTAGCCCCACCAACCCACATTCTCTTCCTTTTGTAGCCAGCTAATGACCAACTTTGAGTCTCCCTGAATTGGTGGCTTCCAAATGTTCAAATCCTTGCCTTTTTGAAATCTCTCCAATTACAGCCAATAATTTAGCTCTCAAAGCATCACCCACCCCAATATGGCTAGAGTAAAGGGCAATAATTTCTCCTTCCTCATTTCTAAACACTCCTCCAATACTTAAAGGACTCAGATTTCCTTCACTGCTACCATCAAAATTCAGCTTAATGAATCCCCTACTACGTGGGGACCAAACAAGCCTAAGACTCTCCTTGAGATGAGCAAAATCAGGAAGTTCCTTCCACTTCCTCATCAAATCACCAACTGAAATATCCTCAAAGAACTTCAGGGTCTTCACCTAATGAACCCTTTTATAGTTATGGCATCAATTAGTGCCTCCCTGTTCCTTTCTTTTTCTTTAAAAAAAAATCTTTGATTTCTCTCCAAGGAATTCTTCCCCTTTTCTTCAGCCCTCCAACAAAATAACAAACTCTGAACGAAAGATTGAGGGGTCCGCTTGCATCCAAACAAAGAGGCAAACCATTCCAAAATTGAAGCAAATGGACAAGAGATTTATAAGTGATAGCAAGACTCACCGTTGGCTTTGCAGAGATGGCACCAAAAAGGGGAAAGACACCAATTAGGTCTTTTTCTTCAAATACACTTCCCAGCAAACACCACCAATCCTAGGTGGAATAGGATTGCTCCAAACCTCCTTTACAGGAAAGGGCATAGGGGTGCTCACAATTCGGTTAACCAAACTGTGGGCTTAATTTTGAAACCAAACCCATTCATCAAAAAAAAATTTGAAACCAAACCGATATTACCGGTTTCTGGAAAATCGATAACCGAAATCGAACCAAACCCAATTGGTTAACTGGTTACCTAGTTCAGTTAACCATCGGTTTGGTTCGTCGATTTTTTTGTTTTTATATTTACAATATATTATAAAAAATTATATAAGTATATAATAAAAAACTAGAAATACATATAAAATATTATATTTTAAATAATAAATAACAAATATATTACAAATAAATATATATATATTTATATATAATGCATATTTATTAATTTATAATATATGGATAATATAAAATATATATGAAAAATATATAATATACATATAATATATAGAAATATATGTATACCAATCGGTTCAATTAAACATTGTTTTTTATATTGGTTAACCAAAACCGAACCTATACCTTTGGTTTTTTAAAAATATGGAACCAAATCCGAATCGACTGTTTTGGTTAACTAGAACTTTCAATTCAGTCTCATTGCTTCAGTTCGGTTTTTCGGTTTCTCTTGCTCACTCCTAAAAGGGCATACCCAGACTAACACTCGGCTGAATTAAATGCACAAAGACTAAGGCACAAGTAAAGGAACTTGAGGATGAAAGGGTCCAAATTCGGCTGGACCCTCTTGAAGGGTCCAACACCACTCTATCAAGATCTTGAATCAAGGTCATGATAGTGTTGGTTTCACCCTCATGGAGGCCTCTTCTAAAGCCCAAATCCCAATTCAGACCAAACCATAATATGAACTTGATACAAGAATATATAGTATCCTATCTGGATTCAGATGAGTAGGAGAAAATCAATGGTTTATAGCAACAGCAACAAGGAAAGTTCATCATTTCAGAAGCATCGTAAATATATAATAACAAGACAAAATCTATCAGGTTGGGATGCATCTGTTTACACATTGCAATTAGGAAAACATAGAAGGACAACAACTGTTGTGATGAAACCAATCATACTAAAAAAATATTTCACAACTTGAAAATACAAGACAAAAATATCTGTTATGAAACCGTTATACTAAAAAGAATATTTAACAACTTTGGTTTATTTACATCCAGCATAGAACATAGTTGTCAAGGCGATGCCTAGGTGACAAGGAGCCCTTGGAGGTTCGCCTGGCCTAATTGCCAAACAGTTTTGTACATTGTTTTGTAAAATACTTTTATATTCTTAATTTTTTGAGATTGCAATTACAAAATAGACATTATTAAACTAAAATATTCATTTTGTGTGTTTACTTTCTAATTTCTTTTTATTATTTTCTTATTTATTAGGGTTTAATCAACACAAACATTGCTAAATGCTCTATTTTCTTCTTCTTCTTTTCCTATAACAAAATAAGGTCTTTTTATTTCTTTTGAAGGGCTAAACAATGGGGGTGGCCCATCCCCCAACCCAGGTGCAAAAGGGATACGATCCCAAGTCTCCACTACGACCAGCAAGATACCTTATCAACCAACTGGTTGGCACGTACTATAACAAAATAGGGGTTCAGCCCCCATATTTTTTGAATTTTCTTTTCTTTCTTCTTTTTCTTATGAATATGTTGATTTTCTATGCTTTAATATGAAGCTTATACTTTTCTTATGAAAATTATGGATAATTATCAAGGAAATGTGGTTGTGGAACCTAGAGAACTACCATAGGATATATGTTTTTCACTTAAAAAAATCCATCACCTAGGCAGGCACCTAGACAACAAGGCGCTCCCCTGTCGCCTAGCCTCACCTTGGCACCTTAAAAACTATGGCATAGAAGGCCATCAACAGCACCCATAATTTAACAATTGATATGGCATTAAACAGAATGGACTAGCGAAACTTGATTCATATAGTTGGGATAAGGCTTGGATGATGGTGATGATGGTTATTTACATCCACTTTTAAATTGCTCAATAAACTGTCTGTGTTGAGCTTGTTGGCTGGTCCCAAGCCCGGATAAAGGAGTAAGGTTGCATCAGGTTGGCAACCACCATTAAAATCCTCGCCACACTCTTATGAACATAGATTGTGAATTGTCATTTCGTGCACTGAAAAATAGAATGCAATAGGATACATGTAGCATGCCACATATAGTTGGGACAAAGTTAGTTGATATTTGAAAGAATTGGCATGAGGTGGTGATAAGCTCATCAAAAAAAAAGGAGTTGGTTTGTGCTCCTTGGTCACCTCCAATTGATGACTTTATTAAACTAAATTTTGATGGAAGCAATCAAGGAAATCCAGGCCCATCAGAAGCAGGAGGGGTGTTTACAAACAAGGATGGACAAATCGTTGCTTTGTTCTCAGGACTGGTGGGTTTGGGGGACTCAATAAGGGCTGAGCTTTTGGCAGTAATTTAAGGGTTGCAGATAGCAAAAGATTTGAGTCTGAACAAGCTGATTGTAGGTGATTCCAAGATAGTGGTGGGGTGGTTACATAAGCCAAACACTGTTATTTGAGCGTATAGAGATGAAACATGACAGTGGGGATACAATGGGAGAGAAGATCAGCCAATGGGATCGCTGATTCCTTAGCTAAGCAAGGAATAAATAGGGGTGACTTGTATTGGTCTAAGTTGTAATTGCTTTCTTGTTTGTGTTTCTTGCTTTTCTTTGTTGAGAGGTGCACCTCATGCCTCTCTTTGGGATGCTTGTAGAAAGAACAATCTAACTAATAATATCATTTCCCCTTTAGTTACACTCTAAAGTTTTTATCATTAACATTTAATTTTAATGAATAAATTTAGAAGAATATAAAGATCAAACATATCCTCCAAAGAGTTAGGGAGCTAGGTAACTCAAGACCTCAACAACCCTAGGTTGACAGATATCAAAAATTACCATAAGATTACAACTGTTTCCCCTGGACCCAGCATCCCCAATTTCATTCTCTCTCATTGACTCCAAATCTGGTTAGGCTGTTTGCCAGTGGGAAGAGAAAGAGGAGTGTTGTACCTTTAAAGATGAAGAGATAAAAAAGAAGGAGAAAGAATATCACACTATTACCCATAAGTACAATAAACTCTTATTGCATTAATTCAACTCAGTTCCAATAATAAAAATGACCATTTATGGACTCAACATAAGGGTTCTAATCTCCCTTCATAGGCTCAAAGTTATACTTAAGAAGTTCACTCAGAACAACTAACAACTTTTAATTGCTTCAAAACCAAGCAAAACCAGTAGGTAATACATATAGCCACTCAAATAAGGACTCTAGCCCATTAAATAACTCTAATCACTTTACAAATCCTACAACAACTAGAGAAATCAAAAACGACTCAAAGAAAATAAACATCCAAATCTTGTCACATGTTAACACCCTATTAGTAAAATGACCATAACTCCCTCAAAATGCATCTTAGTCTTATTTGGATAGATAACTCAACCACCAATTAATGATACCAAAATCATGCAAAAGACAAGTTTTGATCCCTGAAAAATATACTTAAATAAAAAAATGGCATGAACTAATTTGACGGTTTGACCCTTTAAAATGCCTAAACCCTATCCCTGAGAAACTAACAACTAGAAATTAAATAAGAGAAAAGTCAAAAATATGAAAATCCATAAGACCCAGAAATTATGAAATTGCCACTAACACAAGAATATTAAGAAACTTGATTTCTTCTTCAACAGTATCTTTCCTTGCTTCCATGCCTACATCTTCTGTGGCTTCCCAAAAGGATCATCTTTAGTTTCCCATTTTTTTTATAAATCTTCTGTTTCCCATTTTCAAAGATATGAAAGCCAATATCAACCAAACCTCAACTTTTGTTTCAAGTTCCTATTTAAACTGATTGTAGCTTCTTGTACTTCCCTTCTCTGTCTTCCTACTTGTGAATATACAGAAGAAGTTGACAGATCCCTCATAGAGAATTGTTTTTCTATTGACATCAGACCTTTTAAAAACTTGAAACCTAATATTCCCAATGAAGGAGAATTAAAACAAATCTTAAACTTATCCATCAATTGCATGAGCAAGAAAATAGCCTCAATAGTTAAAAGTTGACCCCTCAAATAAAAGTACAAGTTGTTTTTCCATTTTTTTATTACCTATATAAACAAGAACAACACATAGAAATTATCTTAATGCACTTAAGCTTTCATTCTTTTCTATGATTACTCCACCAGCATGTCTTGATCACTGTCTCCCAGGATCTCATAGTGTAACAATGTAACCCATAAGTTTGATGCAAAATACTTGTCACAATGCTGCACAATTTCTTTACACATGATGTATATAATGTTTAATAGGGATTATACTGTATGATCCGCTAATGAGCTTCCTAAGATCATCATCTAGGAATTCTGAAAATATTGCTCAAGTTACTTGCAAATCATAGTAGTTCATAGGGAAGAGGATAGTAGGAGAAATCGGTGTCAACTTTGAGAATTGTGCAAAGAAAACCAGTTCTAGAATCTCGTGCAAGAAGTGGATGAATTTGTAAAACCGCATAAAAATTACTCATTTTTAACAAGATAATAGAACATCTTTTTCTAATTCTGTTTACAATAGAAAATAGATTTTTAACAACAGTTGGAATAAAAACTTAAAAGTTATAGAAAAATACAAGCATATGAAGATTAAAAAGCTTCAAATCCTTTCTTCTGTTGCAGAAGCAATTTTCCTAAGCCCATAACTTCCAAATGATAGATTGGATTTAAACTTCAAAACTTGGAAAGAACAGAGTAACATAAATAAAATTCCCCTTGGAATTAGACCGTCAAACCCAAGTCAATCAGCCAAAAGATAGATTAACAAGCCCTTTAAAAGAAGATATTAAAAAAATATATTGCAATTAACCAAACAAGAAAATCAACCTATCAAAAAAATCAAACAAGAAAACCACAAAACACAACAGTTCCAAAGGAAAAGAAGAAAAACTAATTGGAAAAAAGAAAGAAAAGCTCAAAACCCAAACTAACCAAGAATAAATTAGAGTTCAGAGAAACCCAAAGAACAGCAAAACCCCCTACATAGAAGCACACCCTCCTTCGTGGAAAGAAACCGGATCAGAAGAACAGAAGAACAGAAAAATCAAACTTTTCACGAAAGTACTCCATGAAAAATCAAAGTCAACCAACAAATCAGTCTCAAAACAGATTCAACAACAACAGACTCAGATCACAAAATCACTACAATTAACAAAAGAAAATAAAACCCAATTCACCAGATAAAAATCAAAAGCAACCCACCAAGACAAATCTCACAAACAAAAGGAACGAACTCGCGAATTATCAACTGGGTGCTTAAAGAAACAAATAAACATCAACATAAACAAGAAATATGAAAAGAAAAATAAGAGTCAAATAAGATATTAGCATAGCTACCAAAGACAACGAACACGGAATATCAGAAGAATCTTCACATACCTGTACCTCTTCTCTCTCTCCCCTCTTCCTTCTCACTCAGCTGAAACTGAGAAGAGAAAGGGCGAAAAAAGGGTCTAATCAAGACCCATCAACTTACACTTTTTGAGCTTCGAACCGTCTTAGAGAGAGATGAGAGAGGAGAGAGAAAGAACATGTTGACGTCCAGAGATCCCACGAACGGCTCGGATACGATCCCTTAGTAGCTTTGCCTCATCAGTCATCACCAATAGAATCTGGACGCGTCCATTCTGAATCCAGCTTGACACTACACCCGGACACGTGCGCGGGATCGCGGAATGAGAGGAAGCTTGATAGACGGCAGAAAGCCGAACTGCCGTCGACTTGTCGGCGCCCGAACCGAAACTCCATTGACTTCCGGCGGGCCCCACCAGAGTCAGTGCTGACGTTTATCAGGTCCACCCAATCATCAATCCGGACCGTCTACTGGGTCAGCTGAATCTCTGGTGGAACCATTCCATACCCTAGCCACTGAGTTGACTTGACGACTTGCTTCATGACAACAGAAAAAAATCAGTTAGTTGTCAACATTAAAAAGTATACATTTTGAACGGCTGCGATCATCTGATGATTCTGAGTCCGGAATAGTTACGTTGGTAGGTAACAGAGGGGGAGGGTTGTATATTTGTATGTCCCACGTTCTTTTATGGTCCACAGTAAGAACGTGAGGGGATGGTTATGATCGTACGGTCGACTTTTGGTATTAAAGATCAATTTTAGGTGGGGCCGGAGTGTGGGTGGGACCCGTGAAGTCTTTTGTGATAGCACGTGAAGCTGAAGGCTACTGGACCATGCATGTGGGTCAGGCAAAAACATTTCTTACGCGTGTCTCTTACATGAGCTTCGTTTCTCTCTCTCGGTCTCTCTCACCGGTTTGGACCATACATTTATCGTGATTCTGTTTAGGCCCACGAAATGAGTTGGATAAAGGATCGTGATCCCTTTGGGCCCACCAGAACGAGTCCAGTATGGGTCATGTGGTCAAGTTTATCTGATTAGCCAAATTTTTTTAATTTTTAAAACCCAAAATAGGTGACTGTGGGTCGGCCCAAGATTTGCGGTGTGGTATCCAGAATCTGACCCGGTCAACTCAAGAAGGGAATTAATTCCTTTTTGCAAATGTGTTCTTGGTCTATCTTATGTGTAGACTTTCTTGTTCTTTTTTAAAGCATGACCGGTTCGGTTAACTGAATCATGGCATATATTTGAAATCGAATCGGTCTTATGATTTTCTCAAAATATCAAACTAAAACTAAATTGGATCAATCAATTAACTGGTTTGATCGGTTTAATTTTTTGGTTGAATCAATCTAACTAATTGGTTCAACTGAAACTGAACCGAGTAGTTTGATCAACCAAAAGTTTCAGGTTGGATCATACTCAGTGGTTTATCCATCTGGAGGTGTTAATGAATCAGTTTTGGGTTGGATTCAATCCAAATTAAAATCAATTTGAATGGATTAGATGGAGCAATAAGACATATTGAATTGGATTAATTTAGACTTAATGGTCCAAAGTGTTTATTGGATTAGATTGGATTGGACCTGATCCATCTATAATGGATTTATATTGATTTGATTAAACCAACATCCAGTCCATTGATAGAATATAAGAATACAGGTACCAATTGACCAGGTTTGAGTTGAAAACAATCTAAATTAAAATTAATTTAAAGTTTTAAACAGATTAGGTGATCCAGTCCAAACATTGGACTGGTCCACAACAATCTAGAGCATTCATCGGATTGGATTGAGCCTGGTCCATCTGTAATGGACTCATATTGGACCAAATCCAGTCCAATTGACACCCCTATATCCAGGAATGTCATAAGAATAAGAATGTGTGGATTTTCGGACCAGCCCAAATCCTACAAAACCACCTGGTCCAACCGGATTGTCCAGAGTGTTTTATTTCTATTTTATTTCTTTTTCTCTTTTCTTATTCGAATAATGACAAACTGGCAACCCGATCTTCTCCATCCAATGATCTTGATGAAAAGGTGTTTCCATTTGTATTGGTGTAAACCTATTTGTTGTCAATCTAATGGCCAAGAATTACAGAGTCCACCCCCAAGACGAGGACTTGGTTGCAATGCAAATAAAATTGCACTGTTGCAAAATGGAGCCTTAGCTTAGCTTATTTTGTTTGATTGTAATAAAAATGAATTAAATAAAAACATGAAGGAGAATAAAATAAAATCCAAAATAAAATTAAACAAAAATTTGCATTTTTTTTCATTTGCACTTCCATGTATTTGTACTGGTGCAAATAACAATTGCATTATGGATTGATACGTATCATTCAAAATATCAGGGGCTTTCCAATATGCCCTTACAGAGCGTGCTTTGGAGTCTCGACCAGTTCAGAGGATGGATGGACCTTAAACTGCCCCCTATTAACTAGATTCGACCATATCGATATTTTGAACCTTATTTTGCAATCAAAATGTAGCCCATTCAGCAGTCAACTGAGTGGAATAAAGAAGTACCTTCTTGCCTTCTTGGGCTAATCTTTCCTTGAAATCATGAAATGGCTGGAGGTCTCAGCCCAAACTCATGTGTCTCTCTGCTATTCCAAATCTGGAGTTGAGTGGACAAATCAAAGAATATTGCTTTCTGTTTTTCTCTAGGCAGTTTTTCTTGCACTTTTGGTCGTCCCAAGAAAGAGAAAGATTGTGTTGGTTGTTGCTTGTTAGTTTGGTTTGGATTGTCAGTTGGGCAAACTTTGGCCAATCACATCAAGATAAGCGTCCAAGTACATTTGGTAACGGGTAACCAATTATTTTGTGAGGCTCGCTGCTCATCTGATACTGTACGCTGCTCAAGAAATGTCTGGACTTTTTGGGTAGTACTTTGTGCTCTTTTAGGTTATACACATGAAACCAGTAGCACGGGGAGCAAAGGTATAACTTAGAACAGCATTAAGTGCAATTTATGATTAAATAAGTTGCAATTACAACCTACAACAACAGATCAAGGGGGTGTTCTCATGGTTTAAAGTATTGATGCAGACATTTGACACAGGAACAGGAGTATCGGGTGTTTTGCTACTAAATAATTTTTTTAGGCTCAATTCGGAAAGAGCACAAACACAAATATGTATAGTATAAATACATACAAAATACAATCTTTGCACTTTACATATTTGTATTTGTATTCCTTCCAAACTATGCCTTAGTTTTCATGTTTAGAATTGCATCAGGGGTCAGTTGTAAGCATGCCCACGCCCTAAAAATGCTCAAAGTCCAAAACACCCCTTATATGAGGTTTCGAACAGCTCCTAATACAATACAATACATCCACTATGGGGTATATTACATCGAAATTTTGAACTTTGAGTGTTCTACAACATGAATGTTTTTTTTTTTCATTTGTTTTTGGAATTTCTACATCAGCAAAAAAATTGTGAACTCAGTTTTTATTTCCAAAGAGAAAAAACAAATTGATTTTGTTTCAAAAAACAATGCATAACTAACAAAATATTGGTTTTTAAAAGAAAAAACAACTTTTCTAATATAGAAAGTATATGATTTATAGAACATCAAATAATCAGATGAAAACGTATTTTTTAAACCAGATTCAATAACATGTTTTTGGGTTTAGTTTTGAAAACAAAAACACATACACAACCGAAAACATCTCTTGTGTTCTTGTTAAAGTATTGAACCATAAAGCAACATCATATACTAAGGGGTTAACATCACATGTACGTAATTCATCAAATTCATTGAGGGATGGTAAGTTATATGATATAGTATTTACGATGCCATAGCATTTGCTCAACAGATTTTCTTTTTAATTTTTCTGAAGTTGAGTACTTCACTCGTCGCAAAATGTATAGACTACTACTCATTTGCTTTCTGTCACAATCATCACACATCCTAGTCATTACACCTTCCTAAAGTAATATTATATAATGATTAAGTGTAATGGTGAATTGGTGTAATGGTGACTCATGGGTTTGAGTTTTCAAGTGAAGGAAATCCACTTGGACATAAAGGAAAAAGTAGGAAAAGAAAGATGTATAGGTTTTTTTATCCTTTCTTTTCTTTCCCTACTTTTTTCCTTCAAATCAAGCATAGTCTTGGAGAAAAATTGCCAAAAGTTAGGAACATGCCCAGTCTACCGCTCTTAAACCTCAAATTATGGTTTTTAAAATCGAACCTACAACCGAATCGGTCAAGGGTCCAATTACTGGGTCAAACGGTCAGGTTGACCTGTTCTAACAAAAAAATTAAAAAACAGTCAAAACCGTTTGAACGGTTCGAACAGTTAACCAACCGGTTCAACGGTTTGCTGACCAAAATCAACAATTTTAAGGAAAAAAAACAGTTTTGGGAAAAAATGGAACCAATCATATGACCGATTCCTGATTTTTTCAGTCCAACCGTTCGGTCCACTCCAATTTTGAAAACCATGCCTCAAATAGCTAGCACCAACATTTGATAGTGGCCTTTTAACTAGTGTAAGAGCACATGCATGCAGTGCACATGCACAAGTAAGAACTAAGCATGGCATTTGGATTTAAATTTTATGACAAACACCAAGTCAAATATTTACTTTATATAATATATAGATATTGATAAATATGATAATCTAGTTCATTCTAACTGTGATGATTAATTGGTGTTAAGGATGTCATTGGGTCAGGTTAAACATTAAACCTGGCTTGGCCCATTTAGTTTAGGGGTCAGGTTTACTTAGGTGTAAGGCGAAGTTAGGGTTTTGATTTTTTTAACCAAGGGAGGTTCAAGTCAGTTTTGTCTTTTACTATCTTGGCCCGTTAGGTCATTATACCCTACAAATATATAGGGATGATCATCGAAAACTGAAAAATGGAGCCAAATTGATGAAATCAAACGGAAAATTCAGGTTAATCAAACCATTTAGTTTGGTATTTTTTGACAAACCAAAGGTAACAATTCTGTTTTGGTTAACCAATACAAAAAAAAAAACCCGGTAGTTAATCAAACCGGAATATATATATATAATTTATTATTTATTATTTACAAAACAATATATTATATGTATTCTAGTATTTTATTATATATTTATATATTTATTTATAATATACAATATGAATATAAAAACTAACAAAAAATGGAACCGGTCTAC